AGGGGCCGTACTCTCGCGGTTTCTCCAGTCTCTGCCAGACCAGTAAGTCTGGTCTTTTTTTGGGAGTTTGAATTTTTTCCTACATTTTTCTCCAGCTCTGTCTGGGACCCTCTATTGTAGTCCCTGTCAGAGCAGTCAGTGGTGGTAGCCGGGTACCATCTAGTTGTGCTGGACTCAGTCTGATGGAGGCTATGGTAGTTGTGGTCCATTAGTCCTTTGGACTAATCTTTCCCTTGTGTCTTTGGTTTTCTTCATTTTCCCTTGCTCTAGATGGAGTAGGACTAGTGGAGTATCTTAGATGACCACTCACCAGCTTTTAAGACCCCAGACGCTACTAAACAAAATAGGATGTAGAACATTTTCTTCATAACTATGTTATGCTAGTTGAGCTAGATGTCCCCTGCCCATGTGAATTTCTTAGCTTTGATAACTGTACTATGGTTATGCAAGATGCAAACATTAGGGGAAGCCGTATGCACAAACTCTGTGTGCTACTTTTGCAACTTCTCTGAAAGTCAAAAATTACTTCAAAGTAAAATTTTTTAAAAACAGAAATTTTTATACACATATAGATGCATATATGCAGAGAGATAAAGCAAACATGGTGTTATGTACTGAATTGTGTCCCTGCAAATTGTGTTGGAATCCTAACCCCTGTAACCTGTGGATATAATCCTATTTGGAATAGGGGTTTCTTCGTTGTGTTAATGAGGCTATATCAGTGTAGGTTGTGTCCTAAATCTAATCACTTCTGTGCTACAAGAAGCAGCTCAGACAGACAGACAGACACACACACACACACATACAGAGGAAGACAGATGCCATGTGAGGATGTCTATAAACCAAGGAACTCAGGAATGCCTGTGGCTACCAAGGATGGAATCAGCCCAGATTTGGACTTGTAGCCTCCAGAACTGTGAGAACGTAAATTCCCGTTCTGTGATATTTCTGTTATGGCAGCACTAGGACACTCAAAAACCAAGGTATGGGAACAACTATTTCATCAAATTTAGATGGTGAGTATGCCATTCATTTTGTTATTCTTTCAATTTTTCTGTATATATTTGAACATTTTTGTAATAAAAAGTTGAAAACAAGACAACAGCTGGTTTTGGTCATAGTAAATCAGAAGGGAAATTTAAAGCCTCCAATACTGATCCAGGTACTAAGTCAACTTCCTGTCCCAGAATTTCCACCAGGTGCACCAGTATTTCACAGGTGTCTTTGTATAAAAAACTCGGTCTAAGGCCATTCTGGCACTCAGCTCCCCCCTTTTCCCTGGGCTCTCCTTCCTTTGCCTCAGGCCTGAAAACTCCCCTTATTTTCTTCTCAGATGGAGCAACTTCCCGTCCAGGTGATCTCCCCATCCAGGTGATCTCCCCAGTTCTCCATTTGCTAGCTGTCCCTATTTTAAGGCCTAATCACATGAAAGATATCAGAGGGTCATCGTTAACTCTTCCTTTCCTCTTTCTTTTCTCATCCCTCCTCCCTGCCACCAATAAATCCAAATCTCTACTTCCTAAAACATTCACCCATCTGTCTACTACCCCTCCCTGCTGCAGTGCTGTCTCTTCTGCTCTAAACCATTTCCAGCCTGGACAACCAGCTGCTCCAGACTACCACCTTCTCCGGCCTGGACCACCAGCTGCTCTTGACCACCACCTTCTCTGGCCTGGACCACCAGTTGCTCCAGACCATCACCTTCTTTGGCCTGGACCACTAGCAGAACCAGACCATCACCTTCTCTGGCCTGGACCACTAGCTGCTCCAGACCACCACCTTCTCCGGCCTGGACCACCAACTGTTCAGACCATCACCTTCTTTGGCCTGGACCACTAGCAGAACCAGACCATCACCTTCTCTGGCCTGGACCACTAGCTGTACCAGACCATCACCATCTCTGGCCTGGACCACCAGCTGGCCTCTGCATGTCCATTTTGCCCCACTCTAAAATCCCTGACTTAAAATTTATTAGATTATAACCCAAAAAATAAAATATTCATAAGCCCATACTAATATAAATAAATATCCATATAAATAAATATAGGAAAAGGGATAACTTCCTTACAGGAGAATTTTAATAAATGTAGAAGGAATGAGAGAAACAGAAATTTACCATTTGAACATCACAATAATCATTGCTGCAGTCAAGATGCCCTGATTAATGATAGATTGCATACACAAATTTAAGGAGAAACCAAGGTTTCGGAACTGATTCTTGTTTTGGTTTGAACCCCTGCTGAGAATTTGCATTTCTAACAAGTCGCCTACTGAGAATTTGCATTTCCACACCAGGTATACTGAATCAGAATCTACATTTTAACAAGATTCCCAGGTGATTCTTACGTATAACTTCCTGGGAACTTGTTAGAAATGCAAACTCTCAGCAAGGGTTCGAACAAGAACAAACTGGATTGAAGCCCCAGGAGAAACAGGATGGAGCCCTGATGGCACAGTGGTTAAGTGCTGATGGCTACTAACCAAAAGGTCAGCAGTTCGAATCCACCAGCCACTCCTTGGAAACCCTATGGGGCAGTTCTACCCTGTCCTATAGGGTCACTATGAATCAGAATCAACTTGACAGCAATGGGTTTGGTTTTTTGGCCAGGTGATTCTTATGTATAACTTCCTGGGACCTTGTTAGAAATGCAAATTCTTAGCAAGGGTTCAAATAAGAATGAACTGGTTTGAAGCCCTGGGAGAAACAGGATATTTTCATAGCCTCAAAATATTGCCCCTTCCAAATATTTATTAAGTGTAAAGGGGAGAAATAGTAAGTTTACAGTGGAGAATTTTGGCAGATACCACCTCAGCCAAGTGATCACAGTTAACATCACTAACAAGACATAATGACGTCATGTAACCTGACAAGGGCATACTACCTGTTATGGATTGAATGGGTGCCCAGAAGGATATGATGAAGTCCTAACCCTGGGGACCCGTAAACGTGACCTTGTTTGGAAAGGGTCTTTGATGATGTTATCAGTTTACATGAAGTCCTACTGGAGTAGGGTGGTCCTAATCCTTTGTCAGTGGTGTCCTTATAAAAGAGAAGAAGAGAAAGAGGGAAGATGGACATGTGACAACAGAGGCAGAGCTCTGGAGTGATGCATCTACAAACCAAGGAACAAAGCATGGAAGATTCTCCCGCAGAGCCCTCAGAAGGACTCAACATGGATGACACCCTGATTTCAGATTCCTAGCCTTCAGAACCATGAGACAATAAATTGCTGTTCTTATAAGCCATAACATGTGGTACTGTTATGTCAGAAATACATAAACTCAAGGTAATCATGAGAAAACATCAGACAGTCCAAACTGAGGAACAGTCTAGAAAATACCTGACCAGCATTCTTCATAAGTGTCAAGGTCATGAAAGACAAGGAAAGACTGAGGAGCTGCAAAAGACTGGAGGAGACTAAGGAGACAAGACAACTAAATCCAGTGTGAAATTCTGGATTGCTGGAACAGATAAAAGAAATGAGTGAAAAAACCTGATGAGATCTGAATAAAGTCTGTAGTTTAGCTAATAGTATTGTACCAACAGCCATCTCTTAGTTGCAATGATGATATTATGATTACGTAAGATGTCAACATTAGGGGAAGCTGGGTGAAGCCGATACAGGAAATCTCTGTATTATTTTTACAACTCATTATCTCAAAATAAAAAGTTAAAACAATTATTCTAAGAGCCTAGGAAGTTCATAACAAAAGCCCACAATTGTTTACATGGTTGATAAAATCTGTGCTCCACTTGCCTCTCCCTCACACTCTTGCTCCCAGTCACACAGGATTTCTTTCCAGTCATCTCTGGCCCTTTGCACATGGTGAGCCTTCCCCACTCTTATGGGCAGAATCACTTCCTTAGAAACCTCCTCACTCCCAGCTCCCAAACCCAGATTAAGTTCCCTTGCTAGAAGTTCTACAGCACCCTCTACTTTCATTATATGCATCACCCTTGTCATTTACTTGGTTGACCATCTTCCCCACAAGACTGAAGGTAGCTCTATGAGGGCAGGAAGATTCACCACTGTATTGACACCGCAGATGCACATCTCCACAAATATGTGAACCAATGTAGGGAAGGACTTAGAGTGTATGGTGGGTTTCTTGACTGGGTAAAGCCTCATCAAGCATCAGCAGGTCCAGGAATGATCTCCTCAGGCCACTTCCTTAGTCCCTCCCAGAGCTGTTCTGCCAGCTCCTTGGTAAGCCATTCATTCATTCAGTAAATAGTTTTTGAGGACCAGACACTGTTCTAGGAGCTAGGGATAAAGCAATGAACAAAATGGACAAAAATCTGCCCTCCTAGAACTTATAATCTATGGGGGAGGTAGATGATAAACCAGTAAAATATAAATAGTATTCTAGAAAGATAAGTGCTAAAAAGAAAAAATAAGAAGGATAATATGAAGGGTGTGTTTGAGTGTGAATGTGTGTGTAAGAGTGTTAGTGTTGTGAGTGTGGGTGTGTGAGTGTATATGTGTGAGTGTGTATGTAAGTGTGTGAGTGTGGGTGTGTGTGTGAGAGAGAGTGAATGTGTGAGTGCGTGTGTGGCCAAGCGTGTGAAGAGGTGGACATTTTTGATAGGCTAGGCAGGCAGAACCTCATGATTTCTGAGTGAAGAAGTGAAGGAAGGGAACCAGCCATCCGGGTGTCTGTGGGGAGAGCATTCCAAGGAGAGAGAACTGCACAAGCAAATCCCTGAGGCAGGTGTGAGCCTGGCCCCTCCGTGGACCAGCTAGGAGGCCACATGGCCGTAGCTGAGTGCACGATGGGGAGGGGGCAGCAGGTAAGAGTCTCAGAGCAGAGGCCCCTCACAGATCCTTGTAGGCTATTGGTCTGTCAGGGCAGATGTCTACTCATGACAGACAGGAAACACACGCAGAGCTCTTATAAATACCTCTCATCAAAAGTCTCTCACCAAAACCACCCACTGCCCAATTTTATTCTTTGCTCTGTCATCACATAGTAACAGGCCATCCAGAGTCCATACTTACTAGGTTGTACTGGAGTTCCACAGCCAGCACAGAAAAAATTCTGCGCTGCTACCACGAGGTCCCTCCTGTGTACAGAGAAGCATAATGGTTGTATTTCAGAAAAGGGCAATGGAACATTTTTCACAGATAGAAAAAGAATTGACATCATGATATTTCTCTTGATTAGAGGCCTTATTTATTTATTTTCATTTGGGAAAACAGAGATTCATCCCACAGAGTTTTCTAGGTGAAATCTCTGGGGTCTTTTTAAAGCTAGAACTCTTTAAAAGTCCATTCTATCACCAAAGCAGAAGACACTGTCATAAATAATGATTCCACCACGCGGTCTTTAAGGAACTTCTCCCTGCACGAGCAAAGGATTCCACCTCCAGAGGGAACTATCGACACGTTGTGTGTGGAAGGCAGTTCAGGGGAGCAAGATACCAAAAGACAATGTACTTGGGAAATTCACAAATGGATCCAAAGAAATTTAGATGAAAAAGAATTTGTAAGACAAAGATTCCAAACATTTCTGGTGAAAGATTTTATACCAAAGTGTTTTCTATTGAACTGTTGGTGCCATGATTTCAAGCCATGTGATTTAGAAATATAAAGAAAGTTATAAAATTTCATTACAGTTCAGAGTCAGCAGAAATGGCCAAGGTAAAAATATGGTGAATCCCATGTACCTTGAAGAGGACCCTGGGAAACCCTAGAGAAGGGCTAGCCCACTCTAAGGAGGTGACTGTGACTTCTCACCGTCCTAGACTGGAAGCTTTTCTGCTTAAGCCATCCCAAAGACCTTCCTGCCATTTTCTCGGAAGAAAAAGGGAGTAACATAGTCTACAGGGCACCTTCACGGGGTACAGCCAGCAGGCCCACCAGTCACTTACTGACTCTCTGCAGTCTGTGTGCCAAAAAAGTGAAATCAAGAGGTATGGAAAACTCATAGTCGGTCAAAATGTTCCTTTGTCTATCACGATTATGTACTCTCAGAACAAATTACATTTACCTTACTACTTCAAAAATATATATACATACTATGTGATTCCAACTATATTACATTCTGGAAAAGGCAAAATGATGTTGTTGTTAGGGGCCATTGAGTTGACTCCGACTCATTGCAACCCCATGTGACAGAGTAGAACTGCCGCATAAGATTTTCTAGGCTGTAATCTTTATGGGAGCAGATGGCCAGGTCTTTTCTCCCAAGAAGCCACTGGGTGGGTTCCAAACACCAGCCTTTCTGTTAGCAGCTGAGTGATTAACCGTTACGCCACCAGGGCTCCTTAGAGACAGTAAACACATCAATGGTTGCCAGAGAGTCAGGTGGAGGAAGAGGGGTGAACAGGTGGAGCACAGGGCATTTTACGGGCAGTGAAACGATTCTCATGAGACTGTAATGGTGAACACATGACATGGCACATTTGTCAAAACCACAGGACTGTGCAACACAGAGTGAACTCTAATGTAAACTATGGACTTTACTTAATAATAATACAGCAGGATTGGTTCATCAGTGGTAACAGATGTCCCACAGGAATGCAAGGTGTTAATAAAAGGAGAAACCATGTGCATGTGGGGAGTACATGGGGACTATGTACTTTCTGTACATTTTTTCTATAAACCTAATAAAGTCTATTGCACACATACATATATAAATACACACACACACGTATGGTTTTTATTTCCTTTTTTTGCATCATCTGAGTTGTTTTGTCTTTCAAGACCTTTGTTATTTCTTGGAGAACAAATATTTTTATTTACCTTCTGTGACAATTCTTAACTACAGAAGCTCTCCTCAAAATTAAATTTTCCTTTTTCTAATTCATTCATTTTTATTTACACTGCACTGAACATAGTGATCCAGTCTTTCAAAATTATTGTGTGTGATTTTAAAGGTTCAATATTAGCCACTTAAAAATTCCTTAAGTCTATTTAATTTTCAGTTGCTGTGAATACTCATAGTTAGGAATGCATAATTAAAGTCTCCTAACTTGTCCAAACTTACAGAACCCCCCAGCCCATGAGAAACAGGTGTCAAGAAAGCTATCTCAAAATGTATGCCCAACCTTCCTTTTCCTAAAATGAAGTGTCCTGTGTCCTTCAACATGTTAGTTTTTTCCTTTGCTTACTCATAAAGAGACCAGTGGGACCAGCCATAACTTACTTTAGATGGCCTGGAGGCCCAAGCTGCAATCCAGACTTACTTGGGTGGTGGATGGACGTTAAATATGATCTGAAATCGAGGCGGGGCCCAGTCGTCAGTCCCTCTGATCCTAGACTTAAATTTAATTTCTTGTACTACATCCACACCAGATTCAAACTGTTTTCGGACATGCTCTTCATTTACGACCTGTATAACACAGAAAAGAATTCAGGAGCAACTTAAGCATGTTTCAAGGATTTAAATAAAAAAGAACATGCTCATGTGTTGGCAAGGTTAAAATTTACCATGAAAAATTAAAACTCCTTTTCAATTTACTGAAGGAAACAGCAAGAGCCCTCCACGTGTCGAATGCCATCTGCAGGAGAACTGCTTCAAATACTACTCAGCTAAGATGCCTTTCATTAGTATTTTTAGTTAGCTCATTTGTTTCCAGATTTCATACTTATTAAGGACGTCGTTTTGACCTGGAATACTTTTATAAACAGCAAAAGCCTTATTTCTTCTCTTCAACAGGTGGGCAGAACTTGCCAATCCTACTCTGTCCATAGTTGGAGCCATGTCATTGCTCTTAATTGGTCTCCCAGCCTTCCACCGGAAGCCCTGGTGTTGTCAGTCTTCTCCAGAAACAGCTAGTAAGACCAGTCTTCTGCTCACAACCACCACCCATCTGTCCGTTTGTCGTACTGTTGTGGCCTGCATGATACTATGAAGTTGGAAGCTATGTTGCTGGTATTTCAAATGCCAGCAGGGTCACCCATGGTGGACAGGTTTTCAGCTTCCAGACTAAGACAGACTAGAAAGAAAGGCCTGGAGATCTACTTCTGAAAATTAGCCAGTGAAAACCCTATGGATCACAACAAAATACTGTCCAATACAGTGCTGGAAGATGAGCCCCCTCGGGGGGAAGGTATTGAACAATAGCTAAAACAATAGACTTAAACGTGCGCTCCATCACGGAGCCAGCACAGGATCAGGCCAAGTTTCATTCTGTTATACGTACGGCCGCCATGAGCTGGAGCCGACTTGCCACCAACTAACAACCTGCTCAGGAACATTCACTGGCTCCCCACTGAACTGTTACACTTTCCCATCGGCATTTTAAAATCTGAACTTCTCAAACTAGTATTCTACACCCTCCATAATTTGGCTACTACCCTTCATGCCTTATTTCCTATGAAGATCAATGCCCCCTGCCCACCTACACATACACGCAAACATGTTATCCAACCACAACAAACTACTCTGCTCAGTAAACACACCAAGCACCTTCATGTCTCTGGACTTTGACCCCAGCTGTTCCCTCACATCTCCACCTGCCTCCGTTCTGCCCGTCCGCCCTAATGCTTAGCTCAGATCGTGTGATCTCCAATCAGTCTTCAAGTTCCTCTACTAAAAGTAAACACCCCTGCCCTGCACTTCCAGAGGCCCTCATTTTAGCCTTTGTCACGATGTTCTGCCCCTGGTGGATCGCGTGCTCTCAGAACACAGTGTGTCCTACTCGGGACCCAACCTGTGGCCTGGTTCCTGCTCTGTCATTGGAGGGCCTCGGCCTGTCACTTTAAAGTGGGAATAACAGTTGTTGTGAGGTGTTGCTGAGTCGGTTCCAACTCAGAGCGACCCGATAGAACAGAGTAAAACTGCCCCATAGGGTTTACAAGGAGCACCTGGTGGATTTGAACCACCTACCTTCTGGTTAACAGCCGAGCTCTTAACCACTATGCCACCAACAGCACCTATCCAACAGTGTATTTAGTCCCTGTGTGGTGCAGGGTTGGTGGTTCTAATCTACTCAAAGGTGCATTGGAAGAAAGGCCTGGCAATCTGCTTCCAAAAGATCAGTCATTGAAAACCCTATGGAGCATAGCTTTACTCTGACACACATGTGGTCGCCAGGAGTTGGAATCCACTCAACAGCAACCAGCGCAATAGGGTATTTAGATTAAAATGTGAAGTGCTGAGCATAGTCCCTGCTGCATCATAACCACTCCGTAAGTGTCAGTTTCCTCATTCATTCTGGGTCTCCCCAACACCCAGCAACCATACAAGGAACCATATAAATGCCTGAAGTGAGCAGCAGACAAAATGAAAATTCAGGAACTTTCAAATATATTTTTTTAATTGTGGTAAAATACATACAAAATAAAATTTGTAATTTTAACCATTCTCAAGTGTACAATCCAATGGCATTAATCATTCTTACAAAGTTGTATAACCATCACCACTATTTGTTTCCAAAACTTTATCACTTCAAAGAGAAATTCTGTACCTATTAAGCAATAACTCCCCCAGCCCATAGTAACCACAAATCTTTTGTCTCTATGCATCTATCTATTCTAGATAGTTCATATAAGTGGGATCACACAATATCTGCCCTTTTGTATATGACTTACTCAGCATAATGTTTTCAAGGTTCATTCATGTCATGGCATGTATCATTTCTCTGTATGGCTCAATAATATTCCATTGTATGTATATACCACATTCTGTTTATCCATTCATCTGTCGATGGACAATTGGTTGTTTCTACATTTTGGCTACTGTGAATAGTGATGCAGTGACATTTGTATACACATATCTGTTTGAGTCCCTGCTTTCAATTCTTCTGGGTATACGCCTAGGAGTGGAATTGCTGGGTCATATGGTAATTGTATGTTTAACTTTTTGAGGAACCACCAAACTGTTTTCCAAGGTCAATTTATTTTGATACTTACTATGGAGCCAGCTGCATTCAAGGAACTTACTGGCTGATAATTAACTTCTGACAATAACCAGCACTTCTCGAAAACTTGGTACAACTCTTTGGCTATTAGTTCAGCAGAATTAAAGTCTGGCTCACAAATGCCACTGAAATGTTAAGAGGATGCAAAAATTAGAAAGCTATATTCATGAGTAAGAGCACATTCAGGGTCTTCCTCAGGTTCTTGACTCTTCTTTCCACCCCCAGTGACTCAGAGAAGGCCGCCATATTAGAGATCACCAGGCATCTTACTAAACACAACATGCCTCTATTCTCAACAGAACATCTTTTACTTATTCAGCGTACCACAACATGGAGGTGTGGTGAAAAGGGCACTGGACTTAGCGTACTGAGGCTCATCACATAATCCTTCTGAGCCCCAATTTCTACACCTATAAAATGGAATAATAAAACCTGCACAGCCTATCCATGTGGATATTAAATGAAATACACACAGAAGACTTTTATACAGTTTAAAATCTTATAAAAACCTTGATGGGGATTATTTCATTGCTAGGTGGTAATCCCTGTTGTTGGAACTGGCTGAATTTGGGCAAAATGTCAGAGGCTTAGTGTTCACATGGCTTGGAGAGGACACCCCAGGGGGTCTATGTGTAAGGTAGTTACCTCTTGGAGGAGCTGCAGGAACATCCACAGGTTTCTGTGATATCATTAAGTTCTTCAAGTTCTTTAGGAAAATAAAGAGCAGTGAGGTCTTTTCAGCTTGTTTCATTTAACCATAGTCAACATAAGAAGAACACAAAGAGCTCCCTGCATCAGACGTCAATCTACCCCCAAAAGAACCAATTATTCACCATCTCCATGCTTGAGGTTTCCGCTATGAGACAACAGATAATGCCCAAAGACAGCATTTAAAAACTTACTCTTGTGAATTTCACCAAAGCCAAACAGACACCAGAACATAGTGAATATCTGCTTTCTCATTCACTTCACAGGAGATGAGAGAAAATTAGCTATTAAGACATTTGAAACAACTAGAACATCCTATTTTTTTATAGCAGGGGCATATCTGATCTTGGGAGGAGTTTCTTTCAAGGCCACTATAATGTGCTATCATGCGTGGTGCATGTCTGGGTATGTGTGGGTTGGGGCATGGGAAGTAACCAGTTATACCAGGTGAGTTTCCAAATCTTACCTAAAATGACAAATTCATCAAAGTCACATTTGCTGGACTCCTTCACCAGATCATAGTCAGTAGGTGTTTCAACCACTGGGCTGACCTTTAACCCAGCACAAACTAGAAAAAGAGCAAAGGGGGTTGGCCAACAAGAAGAAAAAAAATATTGTGTAACCTGCAACACTCAACTAAATAGAAATCAGAAAATGAAGACATCTAAGAGTTTACTTCCACCACCTGGCTGTCAGTTTACATACTTTGTGGCTTGTGTGTTGCTGTGATGCTGGAAGCTATGTCACTAGTATTCAAATGCGATCAGGGTCATCCATGGTGGACAGTTTCAGCAGAGCTTCCAGACTGAGACAGACTAGGAAGAAAGGCATGGCAATCTACTTCTGAAAATTAGTCATTGCACTTTTTCATTATCTATCTATATGGGACCAAATTGACAGTAGCAACTCAAAAGATTAGATATGAACCTTAGGGAGCAGTGAGTTTATGTTAATGGAGGAGGTACAACTCAGAAAAGGAAGATAAGAATGTTTGCAGAATTTGAAGAATGTAATCGATGTCACTGAATTGTACACATAGAAACTATTGAATTGGTGTGTTTTGCTGTGTATATTCTCAACAACAAAATTAATAAAATAAAAAATAATAATAATTAAAAAAACACAGTGAGCTGTTTGTGTTCTTCTTATATTGCCTATAACGAAGTGAAACAAACTGACAAATACATGGTACAAAGTTTAAAACATGAAAGGGGAGTTAAAAAAAAAACCACCTCAGCTTCACAATGCGACAAATTCTACAGAGGCCATAAACATATTCATGCTTTTTGATCCTCACACCAGCCTGGGGAGTTGACCTAAGGATGTCATGTAAAAAAAATAATTCAGAAAACTGCAGCAACATGAAAAAATACTTTAATATAATATAATCACATATACAACTGTATTATTTATGCAATTAATTAATTATAAATTGTGATCAAGACTTCCGGGCAACTTGGTGCTATAGTCAGAAGCACCACACCGTCCCTCCGCAACAAAGATCAGAAAAACTAAGTCAAACAGAGTCGCACATCCATCCAGAAACCCTAAGCATCAAATGAAGAGATAAAGAACTCAGCCAAGCACCAAATGGAATAAGAAACTGACCGAGAACAGAGAGCGAGGAGAGATACATGCAGAGGTCCCCTATCAGCTACCGCACCACGGACCCGCCATTTTGGACTCCTATCGGAGATCAGCGAACAGGGAGTACGAGAAAACAGCTTCATGGAGCTTCCAGCAGGAGACAGAACAACCAGTAACCAGCGATATATGCTTTCCCACCACCCGCACTTCTTCACCCCCACTTAGCCTCTGCTTCCTGCAGCCACAGTCTCTTGGCCGGGAAGCACAAGCTTCATCCCGGTGTTGCTTGGATTCTACCCGTCCGCACTGGCCGGCTCCTTTTTGTTGGCTGCTGGTGTTGCTTTTTTCCACTTCTTTAGATTTCTTTCTTACCTCCCACCACCTCCCCATCCTTTCTCTCAAATACCTGGCTCCATGTGGCATTTTTGCTTCTTCCTGAAAGGCTGCAAAACACTGCTGTACTGTGAAACTACTTCCTGGCCCATGCCATCACGCTGGTGGGACCCCCGGGGCTTTTTTGTTTGTTTCTTCTGATTTGTTCTGATTTGTTTGTTTTCTTTTTCTTTTCTTGGCTTGGGAGCCCCTTCCAGCTAGGCAGTACCACGTGGCTTAGAAGCTACTCCCTTAGTCTGCACAGATGCATAGGGACATCCCTGGGACATTTCTTTTTTTCTTTTTTTGTTTTTTGTTTTTGTTTGTTTCTTTGTCTTCTTCTCTCTCTTACTCCCTTTTTGTCTTTCTTCATTTCCATTTTCTCGATTTATTCATTTTTTTCCTTTTTGTTGTTTCTGTTTTTACCCCATTTCTCAGTCTCTCTTCTCTCCACTCCAACAGCAAGCTCGCTTAGCACTCTTTTTTGTTTGTGTGTATGTTTTTGGGTCCTGTTCCTCTTACCTCTCTCTCATCTTTCCCATACCCATCTTAGCTCCACATATCACAATCTATCCCCTCCTTTCTGCCTACATGTACCGTGTGCTGAATATCACACTCCCAAGAAGCACAGGCAAGGCCTACTGGACCCTGCCCTGCACTGACTCCCGGTCTGCACTGTAAGCCCTGGTACCTGCCACAAACAACCCATCCCAGCAACTCCCCTTCAGCTGGACCTGCCCTGCTGTACCATACCTGACTGACTGACCCTGACCATTGGAGAAGGAGGTGAAAAGTATCGTGCCCACAGACAAGCACATAACAAAGAACACACAGCCTGCTTGCTCAGACATAACCAAATAAAACAAAAAAGCAGGACAAAACAAACAAATCTACAATCAATAAATAAGGAAAATAACCACTGAATGCCCCAAAGACAGCAGACAATATCAAAACATTTACAAAAACAGGACAGGATGGTTCTAGTAGGTGTCCGAAATAAAACACCAGATGACTTGCCAGTAGAAGAAAAGGCACTAGACCTGATAGGGAATTCAAATCTCTAATATTCAGAATTATCCAAGAGTCAAAGCAAAAAGCAGACACAAATGAGGAAAAAATAGACAAATTCATGGAAAAGGAAGACAAATTCATGGAAAATACAGACCAAAAACTGGAATAATTCAAGAAAATAATACAGGAACAAAATGCAGAGATAAATTCACAACTAGAAATCATACAAAAACAACAATTAGAAATCCAAAAGATAAACAATAAGGTTTCAGAAATGGACAGTGTCATAGAAGGGCTGAGGAGCAGGTTTGAAACGATGGAAGACAGGATCAGCAAAATTGGAGACAAACACTTGGATACAACTCCGAGGAAAAATCAGAAAAAAGAACGAAGATAAATGAAGAAACCCTGAGAATTATGTGGGATGCAATCGAAAGCAAAAATCTGCAATTGATTGGAGTTCCAGAACAAGGGGAGAAAACAGAAAACACAGAGAGGATCACTGAAGAATTGCTGACAGAAAACTTCCTCAATATCATGAAAGATGAAAAGCTGACCATCCAAGAAGCTCAACGAACCCCATATAGGATAGACCCCAAAAGAAAATCACCAAGGCATACCATAATCACACTCGCTAAAACCAAAGACAAACAATCCAGAGAGCAGCTCGAGAAAAACAAAAAGTCACATACAGAAGAGAAACAATAAGACTAGGCTCTGATTATTCGGCAGAAACCATGCAGGCAAGAAGGCAATGGGATGACATATATAAAACCTTGAAAGAAAAACATTGCCAGCCAAGAAAAATATATCCTGCAAAACTCTGGTTCAAACATGATGGTGAGATTAGGTCATTTCCAGAGAAACAGAAATTAAGGGACTATGTAAAAACCAAACCAAACTTACAAGACTTATTAAAGGGAGTTCTTCAATCTAAGAACAAACAACATCAGACCACAGGCTGAATATAGGACACAGGATTGTACTAGCCAGATACCAACCTAGGAAATGAACTCTCAAGGACTACCCAAAACCAAAAGAATTACAACAGGGAACGAGAGAGGTTAATCTGTAAATGACAACAGCATCAGAATAACAGAAGAGGGAATAACTGGTATAAGTATAGAACCTTCTAATGGAGAGGAAGGCAAGGCGATACCAAGTAATAATAGACTGGTTCAAACCTAGGAAGATAAGGGTAAATTTCAAGGTAACCACAAAGAAAGTTAACAAACCTACTCATGAAAATAAAGAAGAAAAACAAAGTCTCAGTAAAAACAAAACCTACAAAAACAAAAGAAATGAAAAAAAAAAAAATCCACAAGCAAAAGGAACTCAGCACAGGAGAGTAGGAGGAACAAAGAAAACATCAGCACCACAAAAAAAAAGCACTACAAAATGCAATCCGACTCCCAGGAATATATCCTAGAGAAATAAGAGCCATCACACGAATACACATATGCACACCCATATTCATTGCAGCACTGTTCACAATAGCAAAGACATGGAAACAACCTAGATGCCCATCAACAGATGAATGGATAAACAAACTCTGGTGCGTACACACAATAGAGTATTATGCAATGATAAAGAACAATGATGAATCTGTGAAGCATCTCATAACATGGATGAAACTGGAGGTCATGATGCTGAGTAAAAGAAGTCAATCACAAAAGGACAAATATTGTATGAGACTTCTACTGTAAAAACTCATGTAAAAGTTTACACACAAAAAGAAACAATCTTTGTTGGTTACGAGGGATGGGAGGAGTTGGGGGAAACTAAATAGA